CAAACGTGGCGACCGTAATTATTAGGGAGCTGTAGGGAGAACAAAAGTGGGAGCATTGATTTGTATAGGGACTCTAATGGCAGTAATTTCTTCTTCTTTTGTAAAACACTCAGCGGGGAATTTATCATAGCAATTGTGAGTGTTTGAACTTGCATATGGTCGCATGGGATATATTTGCGCCAGATTTATGATGCTAGTGTAATGTTGTTCATAAATGAGGTTTAATAGACTCCTGGAAAGAAGACTTGTAACTCCAAGCAAAAAGCTTAACTGTCGCCTCTTGAAGTGGTCATGGGGACTTCTTAAGTAGCAATTGTTTTGTTAGGTGATGCTCCGGTTTCAGACAGCCGCAGGACAAGTGCAGATGTAATCAGTTGCGAACTTTCGCAAAACACGTGCAATCAGGGAAATAGTGCAAGCTCTGGTAAAAACAGACGCGCATGTTAAACAGGTTTGCACAAAGAAAATGATCTAAGAGGCTAAAACTGTCGCAATTGCTTTGATAAATTTCCCCCCTCAGTCTTCAACCACTCCCGTAGCATACCCACAGTCTCCTGACAGTTTTCTGTAGCATTACGTGCACTAAATGATGTGTGGCCCCTTGGTGGTGTTAGGGGTTGTACTTGAGGAGCCCTATCGCTATAAATTGGCCACCGCTGCTTTAAAAACACTTGACGTCTGTGTTTGTAATTATATATGTACAGAGGGAGAGCCATATTTTCTTATTATTTAGGCAGACTTTTCTTTCTTTTACACGATGGTTGTGTTGCACACAGCAACTCTAAAACTTAGCATACACTGTTAGACTTTTTTCAACAAAGAAATATAAGAGATTCCTCCATCCATGCTAAACAGCATGGATGGCTGGATCTGCCACTGGGCTGTTGTATTCTGACAGTGGCAGGTGTGCCGCTGTCAGAATACCCAAACAGTGACAGCAGCTAATTATCTGCCATCACTGTTTGCCCGAAAAATGTCCTTCCATTTTCTGATCGAAGGATGCTGAATGGAAGGGTGGCAACTGGGCCACCCGCTGAACAAATTTAGTTTGATTCGTCAAGAACCAGCTGAAATTCATACAGTGTACAGCAATTTAAGAAATGTGCAAAGCAAGGCTATGGGTCCACTGAACCATTTTTAAGCAGGAAATGGTGTTTGTGTTGAAATACAGACCTCTCTCCAGTGGTTAATCTAGAAATGTGTATATATGAAAAATTAAAATAGAAAAATAGCTTTAACCCTTTCCCTGCCACCGACGTATGGCATATGGCGGAACAAAAATGTTCCCAGCCTGCCATGTCAGAGAGCCTTACGTCGGGGGCATTTACCGTACTGCTATAAGCTCATGGTTGCTTTAGCGACCATGAACTTGTATTGGAACGGTTCCTTGAGGGTCTCCTTTAAATGAATAGCTGTCATCAGCAGCTGACAAGCCGCTGATGACGGCTATTAACAAAAATTCTGGGGCGCGCCCCCCCCCACCACCACCGGCACATAGTGTCCCCAGTTATGAATGAATAGGAAGTGCTTTACATCACTTTCTGATCATTCATGAGTATCTCAATGGGTGGAGGCACTCACTATAGAGGCTTCTCTCCATTCAGAACCTGTTGTTAGTAAATATTTTACTATCAACAGTTTCTGAATGAATGAGAAGCCTCTGTACTGAGTGTTTCCATTTCATTGAGTGCTGAGGCTGCAGAAAAAGAGATTGAGGACTCAATTTCTTTTTCTATTTCAAAAGGGAAATGTCAGGGGTCTGTTTTAGACCCCTGATATTTTCCTGAAGCCACCCCAACAGTAAAAAAAAAATAAATAAAAAATGTGTAAAAATTAAAAAAAATTAAATATTAAAAAAATAAACCACAAACCCTCCCTCCCCCACACACATAACATACACATGCACCTGCATGCATTGTGGTGTATGCCATGCACATGGGCTGCAGTGCTTGTTTTTTTTTCTTTTTACAATAACATTCATTTAACGGTGGCAATGCATGGCAAAGCATTGTGACGCATTGCCATGTGTTGTGATACGCTGTGTTGCAATTAAATGTATGCATGTATCATTTTATCACAACACACACCAACAGCGCACAAACAATTTTTTAACATAAGTCACTTATTTACAGTTTTGCTTTCCCATTTTTTTTACCATTTCGCAAAAAGACGTAATTTAAAATTTACAAATATTTGTTTACTCAATACAGTTTTATCTTTTAGATTTAGTTGGAAATTGTTTTTTTTGTGCACCGGTACTGATTTTAGTGTGCTTTGTCAATTGAATTGTGTATTTTTATTGGTTTAATATTGATTTGGTAAACATTTGCACTATTATCGCAGGGCCTACAAATTTAGTAGCACTATCTTTTTATTCTACCTGGCCTGTGCTTTCAGAAAATATATTGTTTGGGGTTTTTTTTACAAACGCTATCAATGCAGCAGTTGAAAATCAAAACAATGGCATAAATTGCAAAAATAGCGTGGCCAGCTGAGGTGTAAAGCGTTCCAGAGGACTTGGCAGCGAAAGGGTTAAGGTATGTACTGCAATACTAAATCGATTATATTAAATATACATTGTACTTGTACACACGCACACACATATATACAGAAGTGAGAACACCCCTCACATTTTTGTAAATATTTTATGATATTTAATGTGACGACACAGAAGAAATGACCCTTTGCTACAATGTAAAGTAGTGAGTGTACAGCTTGTATATCAGTGTACATTTGCTGTTTTCCTCAAAATAACTCAACACACAGCTATTAATGTCTAAACTGCTGGCAGCAAAAGTGAGTACACCCCTAAGTGAAAATGTCCAAATTGGGCCCAAAGTGTCAATATTTTGTGTGGCCACCATTATTTTCCAGCACTGCTTTAACCCTCTTGGGCATGGAGTTCACCAGAGCTTCACAGGTTGCCACTGGAGTCCTCTTCCACTCCTCCATGACGACATCACGGAGCTGGTGGATGTTAGAGACCTTGCGCTCCTTCACCTTCCGTTTGAGGATGCCCCACAGATGCTCAATAGAGTTTAGCTCTGGAGACATGCTTGGGCTGTCCATCACCTTTACCCTCAGCTTCTTTAGCAAAGCAGTGGTCGTCTTGTAGGGGTGTTTGGGGTCGTTATCATGTTGGAATACTGCCCTGCGGCCCAGTCTCCGAAGGGAGGGGATCATGTCCTGCTTCAGTATGTCACAGTACATGTTGGCATTCATGGTTCCCTCAATGAACTGTAGCTCCCCAGTGCCGGCAGCACTCATGCAGCCCCAGACCATGACACTCCCACCACCATGCTTGACTGTAGGCAAGACACACTGGTCTTTGTACTCCTCACCTGGTTGCCGCCATCTGAACCAAAAAAGTTTATCTTGGTCTCATCAGACCACAGGACATGGTTCCAGTAATCCATGTCCTTCGTCTGCTTGTCTTCAGCAAACTGTTTGCGGGCTTTCTTGTGCATCATCTTTAGAAGAGGCTTCCTTCTGGGACGACAACCATGCAGACCAATTTGATGCAGTGTGCGGCATATGGTCTCAGCACTGACAGGCTGACCCCCCACCCCTTTAACCTCTGCAGCAATGCTGGCAGCACTTATACGTCTATTTCCCAAAGACAACCTCTGGATATGACGCTGAACATGTGCACTCAACTTGTTTGGGGAGGCCTGTTCTGAGTGGAACCTGTCCTGTTAAAGCGCTGTATGGTCTTGGCCACCGTGCTGCAGCTCAGTTTCAGGGTCTTGGCAATCTTCTTATAGCCTAGGCCATCTTTATGTAGAGCAACAATTCTTTTTTTCAGATCCTCAGAGAGTTCTTTGCCATGAGGTGCCATGTTGAACTTTCAGTGACCAGTATGAGAGAGAGAGAGAGAGCAATAACACCAAATTTAACACACCTGCTCCCCATTCACACCTGAGACCTTGTAACACTAACGAGTCACATGACACCGGGGAGGGAAAATGGCTAATTAGCCCCATTTTGATAAAATGGCGAATTAGCCCCATTTTGGATATTTTCACTTAGGGGTGTACTCACTTTTGTTGCCAGCGGTTTAGACATTAATGGCTGTGTGTTGAGTTATTTTGAGGGGACAGCAAATGTACACTGATATACAAGCTGTACACTCACTACTTTACATTGTAACAAAGTGGCATTTCTTCTGTGTCGTCACATGAAATCATATAGTAAAATATTTACAAACATGTGAGGGATGTACTCACTTCTGTATATTCTGTGTGTGTGTGTGTGTGTGTGTGTATATATATATATAGATATATATATTAGGGCTGTGGAAATTAACGATTAATTTCTCGATTAATCGTTAGACTTTTTGATCGATTAAAATGCTTTTGTTTGCTAATGAAAACACTCACCTCTCCGCCGGCTTCCGGGAGTCTCGTCGGAGATCCGGTGACGTCACGGACATCCACGTCACCGGACTCCTTCCCCAAGTGGCTCCGTCGGCTAACGAAGGGAAGGAGGAGGGGTCCAGTGATGTTGATGTCCGTGACGGCTAACGAAGGGAAGGGGGAGGATTCCGGTGACGTCGATGTCCGTGACGTCACTGGACTCCTCCCTCCCTTCGTTAGCCGACGGAGACACTTGGGCCGGTGAGTTTGCCCGGCTTTCCCCTTGCATTTCACTATACCCAACAGCCATTTCATTCCAAATCCCCATACAGGTATATACTCCCTGCTGCTCACAAGTTTCAGTAACATACATTTTAAATTTTGTTTACTGAAACTAGTTATGGTAATTGTATGCATGTCCATAATCCTTTGTGCTGTGTACAGAGGGATAACATTTTAATTATATTTAACTCCCCTTGCTCTTGTTATATTTCTCTGTAAAACATCAGCTCTGTACAATGAAAACAATTTGAGGGGGGCTTCAGCACAATGCTGAGAATTCTCAGTGAAAAAAATCAGAAGGGACACATTAAAATATATACTTTTTCTTCCTGACTATATTTTCGCCTTTTTTTTTCCCTTTAGGAAGAACCTAAGAAAGTGCGATTTGACTATGACTTGTTTCTGCACCTTGAAGGTCATCCGCCTGTAAACCACCTACGCTGTGAAAAACTCACCTTTAACAACCCCACTGAGGAGTTTAGAAAGAAACTGCTTAAAGCCGGCGGGGTAAGCATAGTAGTTATGTTAACTTTGTCTTCATAACATCTCAAATTCAAGTGGACCTTTACCCCCTTTCACTAAATTACATTCCGCATACGGCTCTGCATGCTCATATGAAATCATCTTACATTCATTAGTTAAACAAACATGTTTTTCATTTACTTACAAATAGATTTTATCCTGTTCCACTTCTGGTACAAATGGTATAATCGTGCCCAAGCATTGCATCCTGGGAAGGTTACATCAGCAGAGGATTGCTGGGAAATCTCATCTGTAATTTCACAAAGTCTCATGGAAAGGTATTTTCCTCCCCTGAGATTATGTGCATGGTCACATGTTCTAGTCACATGTGCTAGATTTCCAGGAAGTAAAGGGAGAGCTAGTAATCCGCCCTTAGTTAGCATGGCCACTGTGAGAAGACTGGGGAAGAAAAGAGAAATAAGATATGCAAGGAATACAATGCCAGCAATTATCTAGACCTATCTGTCTGTTTGTAGATTGTCATTACTAAATATTTCTAAAGGTGTGTTTGTTGTTATCTTAAAGATAGGGGTAAAGTTCCTCTTCAGAGGAGAATTATGGGGTGAGTGAAACACACTCATCCCCATAATTCAAAGAGGGGGCAGGCTGTCAATCAGCCAGTGGGGTGAATCTCGACAGTACTGTCGGATACGTTCCGGCTGTGGCGTGGCTCTGCGCCCATGGCATTTATCGGGCAATAGCCCAGTATATACTGAATTTGGCTCACTTGAGGACATTAGTATATGTTGTCCTGTGACACTGAAGAGAACTATGGCCAAAAAAGGTTCGGCTATAGTTCTCTTTTAAGATGGGCTTATACAAATTAGGACAATTCAACTTATTGAAGGCATTATACTAAGTGACAAAGCTCTGTTTATGACATCTTAATTCTTCTTTAATGTTGCTTTTAAGAATGTGGGATATTCAATGAAGAAAGTGTTTTTTGTTTTTGTTTTTTTAAGCCCAATTGAAGCTTCTGTATTTATTACTGTAATGCACACAGGCTGCTTATACAGTAATACATATGCGTCTCTTTTTTTTTCCTTATTTTGTGGTGCAGCAAGGCTTTAACCCCTTCGTGACTGACAACGTACAGTGTACGTCATTGAATGCAGCAGCTGGAGAGCCGGTCTTCTGCTCCCGCACACAACGCAGCAATCCATGTCTCAAGTGGTCTGGCTTGCCCAGTGCTCAATTGAGCAGCACTTAAGGTGCTCATACACTGTGTGAATTTCAGAGGGTTCTTGGTGAACTAGCCAAAATTCGCACAGTGGGTGCCACTGTCTGCACCCTTTCGGCTAGCATCCCTCAATCAGCTGATTGTAGGAGCCATTTGCAAAATCTTCATACAAACAGAGCTGGCAGCCAATAAGCTGCCAGCTATGTTCGGGTATTCTTACAGAAGCTGGCAGCCGCTGTCAGAATACAAAAGAAACAGTTGGGATTCCTGGATCAATGTGCTAGTAGTGTTGATGGAGGAATCTGCAATGTTAGCAAAATAGAGCAGTGTATGGGCAGCTTTATGCTGCCTGAACAACCTCGTAGATTGAAGGACTAGGCAGGGGGCATGTCTGACTGATGGAGACCTGGTCAACTTGTGTTGAACAGTGGTCTGACTCTCCAACCTGCTGCATGCATAATGTATTTTAACCCTTGATGCTGCGCAAAGTAAAGGGGAAAAAAAAGGCAACAATATTTATTTCTCTATATGCAGCTTGTGTGCATTAGTTATAAATACAGAAACTTTAAACTGAAATTTTGAATCTTCTTCTTAACATTAGGCACCTTTATTAACTAGTTGTTGGAGTAAATTTAAGCCCAACTTCCTTTTTTTTTTTTTTATTGGTTGCACAGCACTGTGTAAAACTAGAAAAAAAAAATCAGCTTTTACTGTAATATTCATTTTTCCCCAATAATGTCTCCTGTAGAGTCACAATACCATGGTTCAATGCCAGGCCTCTTTTGGGTTGAAAGACTCTAAACATCATTCAACTCAGGTTCTTTAAGCCCAGGACATTATGGATCCGCCCCGAGTTTGTGTCCTCATGACGCTGTGCACTCACTGTAGAAGGCTGCAGAGAATGGCACAGACATAATTATGTCACCGCCATTCTTTGCATCATTCAGGACCATTGAGGAGAGGAGGATGTTATGGTGAAGAATCTTTTGGTTTTGGTGTGGTCAGTGGTGACCTCACAGGCATGCTGTGGACTTGCGTTCTTCTGGAGGCCACAATTATACTGGTACCTGCAGACCTAAACTCACCTCGACTGAAAGTTGGCACCTGATATGGCTATCAGCCTGAATGGCAGCCGATTATCTGTATCGGCTCTGGAAAAATAATATAATCTATTCCTTCTCTATACACTTCTATTGTGCCTACTGTGTTTTGTGGTGTAGGTTCTTTCTACCCTGTTCCCGTTGAAGCCGGCGGCTCTTGGCACGGTTAGGATGCGGGGGACTGGGCCTTTAACGTCACATTCACCAGTGACATCACTAGAAGCAGTATCACAGCAAGAGGAAGGCTGTGGATGATTGTTATGCGGTCTTCCAGTAATATAAGCGTGTTGATTGTGTAAAGATGAAAACTTGAGTTTACTTCCGCTTCAAAGTCAGAATTCTACTTGGGCAATATAAACAAAGTTAAGGTGAATGTAAATCAGTGAGGGAATTACAGAGGCTGCCATCACTATCCTCTTTCTAAGAATACTAGTTGCCTAGCTGTCTCTAGCATCATTATTTCCAATTAATGGACCTGGAACAAGCATGCATGCCATGAAAGTCATAGCAAAATCAGAACTCCTGATTGCTTACCTCTTCCAGGTCATCCATTGGATTAGCATGAAAGGCAAATGGATGAAGAATTCAACAGTGGCATCCTCCTTTAGGTTTCAGAAATAAAAAATAGATGTTGATCTCTGAGCTAGGGATAAAATGGGAGCATGCTTATGCAATTGATAATAACAATGGAAATGCCTACACTTCATGTTTTTGAGCAGCTGGATATGTCTCCAGATTTATCTGGAGTAGCTCTCTTTTATTTACAATATATAGCAAAGAAATCCGAAGAATGCTTGCGCATCAGCTGATTGCCATTAGAATAGCTATATGCTATTTTAATTCAGCTAAATTGTATTGATGCTTTAAATCAGCTTCCACCTTAGCTAGGAGCAGTAAAGAGATCTTCTTATCAAAATGTCTGAGGGCCTCATCGACATGCAATAAAATAGGCTCTTAGTGCAGCATCTAGTGATAAGCGGAGTGTCTGCTGTTTGTAAAGGGACAGGTGAGCAAACACAAGATTCTTTTTCAGTCTGTCCAATACAAAGTACACCAGAAGCCACCGCATTTTCCACCAGCCTTTTTAGTTAATGTTTCTCCGCGAAGGAAATGAGCTGCTATGTGCTTTACATAATGGGTCACCTTGTTGTGTGTGCTGATGAAACTTCACATTAAAATGAAAGGAAAGATTAACTGAGCCATATTAAGGGACCTGGGGACTCCTGAGACATAAGACAGGTGCAAATTATGTGGGGCTATGAAATAAAGTAGAAGGCAATCTATGAAGTTCCTATCTGTCCTCAATTAACTGTACATAATCTGTTCTAAAGTTTATTGCGATCTGTCTGCAGCAGTGTTGCTGTATGAATTCTATTACAAGTGACAGATCTGACATCTTTTGCTTATGGATGTATATTTCAAAGTTAATACAGGATTGTGCAGACAGAATACATTCAGCCTGTCAGTGTATTATTTTTATATTTTTTTACTTCCCTCTTAAAGCATAACTGTTCGGGGAAAAATAACTACATAAACCAGTATAAATGTGATTACTTTTAGCTGACACACTGCAGCAACTTGATCCATTATTCTTTAGCAATGGCTTGGTCTTATGCCAGGTGATAACTGGTTTACAGTTAGAGAATGAGTCTTATTTTAATAGAAAGAGTCAGTATAGCAATAAACAGAATATTTGTGTTGTATATTCATGATCATTAGTCTCTTCCATATCTTTGTGTTAGGACTACATCATAATCAGGTGTAGAATTAGAAGAAACACACAGGTTACATGTTTTGGAGTAGGTGTCTAAACAAATGTATGTATTACAGGCATGGATATAGTTTAGTGATAATGATACCCGTGACTTCTACCATAAAATGCACCTGTGGGGAGAAAACTATTCCAGATGTCAGAAAGTTAATTGGTTAGCAGTCACACAATGACTACTGCTGTCTTGGTATTTCAAGTTGTCTGCTTCTTTCTTGACACATGTAAGTTGGTCAGTATTCAACATACTTGCCCAGCGGTCACATGGGACTTGGGATTGAAGGACATTTTGGTAAAGGAAACTTTTCTTGACTTGAAGGCTGTCATTGCTGAATTCTCATTAGGCAAATGTGAGTTGCTCACCTTCCAGCTTCAATACCTTGGGTCATATCCAGGAGAAGAAGTATGCAATCTAGGAGTTTATTCTTATTTTCCTGATATATGCATGCTTGTAGAAAACTCCATGTCAGTTTCCACATAATAGCCAGGCGACCAGCGTTTTCAGGAGCTCAGAGGTGAACAGTGGCAGCCCTCATGTATTTCTCACTAAAGTTTTATGTCCAGCCCACAAAGCCACTTTTCTTGCCCACTGCTGACTGGTTATTTTGCCGCCCCTCTCACCACTGCTGGTCTTGCATTGACATAGAGGGCCTGTCAATGCAAGACCAGCAGTCGTGAGAGGGGCAGCAAAAGAACAGATATAGCAGAACCATTAGCATCCTGCCTTGAGCTTTGATTTGTCTGTTGACTTTAGACTTGGCCTTTAAATATGAGATGTGGCACTGTGAGAAATATTCTACCTGTGTAAGTCACTTTCTCCTTGAGCTATTAAGGTCTGTGGACAACAGGGTGTTTTTTCAACAGTCTCTAAAGAAATAGAAGAAATTATGTGAAAAGAGGGCCAGAGCTCCACCTGCTGGTTAAAAATACTAATAGGGCTATTCACAAAAGGGTGAGGAGTTTGGAGAAGGCAGGTGAAGTGAACAAAAAAGGGTGAGGAGTTTGGAGAAGGCAGGAGAAGTGAACAATCTAGGACAACATAGCTGATTTGGAAAAACTCTCCAATTCAGCTCACTTTTCCAGTTCAGCTATGTTGTCCTAGATTGTTCACTTCTCCTGCCTTCTCCAAACTCTTCATCCTTTTGTGAATAACCCTGTAAATATTAATGTACACTATCTCATATTTACCTGATCAAATTACATTTTATTTTTTAGTCCTAAAAATGATGCAGAAAGAAGATGGGTGGAAACTTTTACCATTTGGCTGATTTATATTCTTCTGTTTTTTTAACCCCACAGTGCCTGGAAAAAAATATTAAGGCCAGCATATATTAAATAAGGGGATGAAAACTTCTTAAAGGCCAACCTAGATATTAGAAGGGGGTCATAGACATCTGCATTCATGTTTAGTAGGGTACTATACATGAGCAGTCTCATCAGCATGATAGTTGCAAGTGATGAAGGAAAGATAGTGTGCGCCATACTTACATGTTGGTCATATTGGGAAGAGGTCTTCAATGTGTCCTGCAGCTCCAGCATTTCTGGAGTGCATGGACAAATGTGTCATTGCCCATTATTCTGGGGTATTATTAATGTTGAGGACAATGTATAGCCATACATGGCTGTATAGCTGCGTGTAGTTAATGTGCTATGGTGATTTGAGCATAATTTGTGGTTATCAGACAACTACTGGGTCAGGTAGGTGGTTCACTTGTGGATAACAGTAAACACAAGCATCGGAGAAATGTATCAATTAGAAACCTTCCAACATTTTGAAAAAAAAAACTGTTAGGGCAAGCAGCCATTGTTCTCTTCTCTGTTGTTTAAAGAAGGGGACAAAGTATTCGCCCCAGGTCCTACATTTACACATGGTCCGTGTTAGAGACTGTGGGTCCTGACACTATGAAATCACACTATAGGTAAGGTATCAGCCTTAAAGTGAATCTGAAGCCAGGCTATAGGCATTTAAGGATTTACATATTCTTATCATACTGTAAATTACCTACATTTTGCAATTGCATTATGTGATTTCAATCATGTTTTGGTAATTTTGCTTGTTGCACATTTTATTATTGCTTCTGTACAATCGTAAACTCTTGAGGCTATTCTGACTTGGACATTATATCCACAGAGCTTGTAATGTCTCCCTATATTTATCTGTGATTCTTTTACTGGCACTCCTTCCCATAATGCATACAGTTCTTAATTAAACTAGTCCTCTTGTGTGTATGCCTGTTCAGGGAAGGTTAAAGGCTTGATGGTATTAATTGAAGGTAAAATGTGCAAAATTGCTACAGTATATCATATAAATGAAAGATAATAATAGTAATAACAATGGTATTTTTACAATGCATCATTAGTTTCATAAAGTTAATGTATTCTGTTAGGAATGGTGTAAATAGCATAACGCTGATCTGTCTTGCATATATGAATGCTATATATATAATGTTTTTACTTTCTTTCATTTTTGACAATAGATAATGGTTATGTCAGAGGGCTCATCCTTTTCTTCAGGCACCAGTCTTCATCTTCCCGGCCTTCCCAGTAATTCCCTATCTTTCTCAGATGTAAAGAAAAGCAAATCATCTCATGGATCCAAGGTGAGTGAAGTTATAAATAGCTGCGTATATATATATATATTTATAACACGAATGCCCTTGCATTGATGCCACTAAAATATCCATACACAGAGGCACCGGACACGACAGAGATATATATATAGATATATATATATGTGTGTGTATTTTTCTTTTTTTGAATGGAGGTGGTGTTCTTGCAACTGTTTGAATTGATATATAAATAAATAGCATTTTCTTCATGTTGCTCGTGTAATAAAAATGATAGAAAGAAAAGCTTTCTTTCTCATAATAACTAATGTTTTAGCTGTAATTTCTGTAATGCAAATAAAAAGAGTAATTTGGTTGTTAAGATGAACGTTTTCCAGGTTACATAGGTAGTTAAATTAATCCTGCATTTTCTGGGGAGAAATGTTTACCACTCTGTCATCAATAGAACATGTTTTTAGAATGTATTGCTTTTTCAGTTACCAGAAGCAGGCGAGTGTTTAATTGTAAGACAGGTAAATATTGGATTACATAGCTGTTGTTTTGCTGATGAATAGTGGGTCCCCTAAATTCATTATATAAGATGATGCATAAGGAAGCTTGAATAAAGCGATCTAGCTGCTTTGTGTGTTTTGAAGGACAGTAGATTTGCTATTCAATTGTTATGGCGCCATCTCAAATAAGTAAGAAGAAGCACTTCTGTGTCTGACATTAATGCAGGATTTAGAACTAACCGCAGCAACATTTCTTTGTGTGCGGAAAAACATTGCATTTGTTTGTTGCATGAAAATGATTAGCATTTTTTGCTAACCACATATCTACCAAATGCAGTAATTAAGAAATGTAGACAGACCATAGCGCTGTATCAATTTTTTTCTATACAAATAGTTTCATTTCTTTGTATAATGCCATTTTCTGAGTAAGAATTCATCTTTTAAAATGAAAATACAGGGTTCCTAAACCCCTAGTGTCTGTTTCCTAAACTGAATTGTGGCAGTACAATCAATTAAAGATTGTATGTAAAAGATTGATTTCATCACACCTTGTTTGTGATGCAGGAAAAGAACCCACCAATCAGATTCAGAGGGTTATTCACTATTGAGCCGAAGGATCTAGCCGTAGCTTCTTCTGATCAGTTGAACCGAAAGGCTGCTATTAACTATAGTCCGTACAACAGCCGAGCTGTAGTCACACCTGCAGCAGGGAGAACGGTCTGTGAAGCCGACCGCTCTCCCCGCAAGTGACAACTGGGCGGGCCAGCCGTGATGCCCAATTGTTTATATTTTGCCGGCATCTGTTATAATCTTCATTCTGTGGCGGGAGTTCGTCGCATGCGGTTCGGTCTTATTTATTTCGCTAAGTCGTCATTGTGGTGGACAATGCTGGACGTCGTGATTGATCCTGGATTATGTCGTTGGATCAATTGTTTGGATTTTTTTTGTAAATAAAGGACTCGTTAAAGTCCTTTTTGTTGTGTGTGTTTTTTTTTAATTTATAGTTTATTTAACCCATTGGTGAATGGGAAGGGGTACCCCTCAATCATTCACAAGGGGGGCTGCATCAGGGTGCCCCCCCTTGTGAATGATTGAGGGGTACCCCAATGCAAATAAGCCCCCCCGCCCGCAGACCCCCCCAACCAACGCCCCAGGGCTTGTGGGGAAGAGGCCCTTGTCCCCATCAGCATGAGGACAAGGTGCTTTTCCAGGGGGGACCCTGGAGAGGCACCCTGCCAGTGCCACGGGCATGTGGCTCGTCCCCCGCTTTCCTGCCCTGCTAGGCCTATGCTGGGATCAAGGGTCTGGTTGGGAATTTTAGGGTGACCCCCCCCCCCGCCCCCATTTTTGGAGGTGGTGTTCCTTAAAATTCTTACCAGACCTGAAGAGCCTGGTATGACTTTTGGGGGGAACACAATGCATATTTCTTTTTAACTGGGGGTCCCTCTTAACATTCCTACCAGACCTAAAGGATCTTGGTTTTCTTTACTTTTTTTAACAATTTTCTGTTTTTCTTTTGTTTACATTTTTTTATTCTGCTAGTGAGCAGAATAGCCTAGCCAAATGCCGTTCGGCCCCCTATGAGAATAGGGGCGAACAGCAGCGAGTGAACTGCCGGAGCTACTATGACCGAAGGCAGCCGATGTATGGCTGATTTTAACCAATGTACGGCTGGAATCAGCCATACAGAGCCGAAGTGAATACCCGAACTCCATGCGGCTCAGTTCACTTTGATTCGGCTGCCTTCGGCGGCTTAGTGAATAACCATCTTAGTCTTGCATTGGAAGCTAGACTGTAATTTGGTGGTACTGGAAACAGAGAGCTGGATCTACACAGCACACACTTCAGGTTAAACACTTTCAATTAGATGGTGAGATAGGTAAGCATGGTTTTATTTTCTGGTTTGTCTCTAAATTTTTTATAATTTGAGCTCAGTATATGAACAGCTAAAATCAATACAGATTTGAGTCCTTAAAGTGAACATGTGGCTAGGCCATAATCAGTAATATATTAACTGAAGTAAATGTGCTTTCAAACAAGCCCTCACTAACCTCTGGAACTGTAGGCACTGTAACGCAATCCATCACAGTGCACAGCAGAAGCACTGGTGTTTTTCAAGTCATCCTTGCGGCAACTCTGTTCCTCTTGCTCTCCTTGCCATGCGTGACTCGGTAGCCTTCTGATCTGTAATGTAAACAAAAGGTTCTCTGAGAGAGGTAAGGCTGAGCTGCTGAGATAACTACTATTCACATGGTGCATGCGTTTATGTGATAAATGTCTTTGCAAGGTATAACTGCTTTGATCGTCTTTGTAAAAATGCAAGCCTTCCCTTGACAACTATGTTCTAGTCACAATTTGCAACATTTTTCAGTTCATCCCAATCCAGAAATAGCCTCTCTCCAAGGGTCTTCAATGAAGATAAATATCTGTGGGAGTAAAAAGATACTGTTTGTCCCCTCCCATTTGTGCTAAACATCTAAGATGTTTCCCCATTGCGGCTTAGTCATCTCTTTTAGTAAGCTGGAATGGTGAAACGTGTTGGAAGTTGAGCACACATGGGGAGGAACAAACAGTATGTATTGGCTCCATAGTAAAGATCTTTATCTTCGACGAAGATCATTGGAGTGCGGCTATTTCTTGATTGAGTTGCTATGGGGGAATGTTGAACTTGTTTGCTTGCACCTGGGATGCAATCATAGTGTTAGCTGGCTTTGGAATGTGAGCGGTGTCTGCTGTAAATTATTTTTCAGTTTATGTTAGCAGAGACAACAGGTCAACAAACCCCAGAAAAGATATGCGTCTTGGCTTGTCAGTTGCACCAGTTTTAATGTAAAATGGAATGACTAGGGACAGTTTAAATCTGTTTTACCGGACATGTTAGCTGATTATTTTTGTATTTATTTTTAGGGTAATCTCTCGGCTAAGACACTGAGATAAAAGCCATGATTTTTTTAAAATATGCAACATTTATTTTTATTTGAAATACTAATTCTTGTATTAACGCTTTGTAATTCTGGCTTATATTTCTACACCTTACTGTGCTTAAAGTGATGACTTATTTTGATTTATTACAGGACCCAAATAAATTGGTTAGTGTAAACAGTAGCAGTAACACACTTAGCTTATCAAAGCCACATAAATCTTCAAAGGAACACAAGGAGAAATCATCAAAAGACTCAAAAGAGCATAGAAGTGCCTTTAAAGAACCTTCCAGGGATCATACAAAATCTTCCAAAGAATCCTCCAAAAAACCCAAAGAAAACAAACCACTGAAAGATGAAAAAATCGTCCCTAAAATGGCCTTTAAGGAACCTAAACCCATGACAAAGGAAACAAGGTGTGAGAACAATAATATTCTTACAATATCAAGTGGGCATCAACAAGAAAAAAAAGTCTCTAGTAAAAGGCCGTCTCACATAGACTCTGAAGATCCACTGACCAGGAAACGAAGGAAAAGCAACTCTGAATCATCTCTTAAAAGTTTTTCCAATTCCTCGCTTCTCATATTATCTTCATCTGATAAAAAACCTTTGAAAGACAAATCTCAGCCTAAAACTGGGAAGGTAAAGATTGAAAGTGAAGTCATAGACAAGAAGAAGGTGTCATTGCCACCTTTTGAAGATATTGTAGATCCCAATGATACAGATATTGAGGACAACATGTCGTCCAAATCAGAGGTATTGTACATTTACTTATTTTCCATGTATTGACCTTGTCATAGTTGCTTGCAAAGCTGGACTTTTCTTTAATTGAGATTAGACCGTTCACGATGAGTAATTGAAGGTAATTTTTGCAGAAGTCATTGACCCAGTAATCTGTTACATATCTTGGGGATACTGTGGCTCTGCTGAAATGTCTTTGATTCTGAAGTCTGTAACATTTAGTTTCAATAGAAGGTATTTGCCTTCAAGCTATTGCAGTCTGTATAAAATCAGGGCATGACCTGATTAGTTTGATCTAGAATCTGATATGCAGATAACTGAAGAACAAGCAATATTTCTTTTACTTCTTTTTGTATAGAGAAGGATACCTGGTTGTTAAATAAAATACTTAAACGTTATGTGAAAGTGTTGCCCGGAGCACTGTTACTTTCACATAAGGCTCTTGTTTTATTCACTGCTTGTATTCGACTGTTTAGAACTTAAAATGGTTTGGTTTAAAGCTAATCATATTATTACATAGTTTGGCTTTGCGTCTTTATTTTCATTTACTTCTTTGCTTTGTTTCAGTCATGAATTAACATTAGTTTTAGTCACATAAGAATATGTGTGTATTGGGCACCTAGGCGCAGTGTAGGGATCTTTAACAGCATTACTGCAACTTTATCAAAACAATTAATGGCTTAGCAAGATACAAGAGTTGCTTCAAATGTGCTGCAAAGTCATGTTCCTTTGATGGATGCCTCCCATAGTCTCTTCATCTTATCTGATTTTTGGCTACATATGCGGATAGAAGGCTGGACAGTCATAATGGTTCTGTCCACAACGTATGCAGCCAAGTTTTGCTGGGCATGGTAATGTTATTGATTATTAAAAGGTGCATGTCTTGTAGGTTGTGACTTACTAATAATAATCTTTAAGCTACCCAGATATTATGAAAGTTATAATATATTCTGTTGATCCATTTATTATGGTTTGTAGAACAGAACAATAGCAATGCAACAATTAGAGAACACATACAGGTTTTCATTTGCAGTTGGGAAGTCAACCAGAATTATGCTTCATTGAAGTAGATAGTCAACTGAGCAGTGGAAATGGTGATAGTACTTAAAGGAGAACTATGAGGTGAGTGCTTTTCACTCACCTCATAGTTCTAAGCCGACCTGTGACAATGAGACTGTCACAGGTCGGCTCAGTAGATCGGGAGGTGAGGGAACACATACCGGGTTCCCTCACCTCTCGATCCTGTCACGGCTCTCTGCCGTGACAGGGGGAGGGGCTGGATTCCACTCTCCCCGCTCCGATCTGCCAGCGCTGACTGGCGGAACGGACGGGGGAGGGGGCGGGTACAGCTGGCTCTGCCTCTAGATAGGCAGAGCCAGCTGTCACTCACGCAGCTGGGCGGATCCCGTCATCTACGTCGGGATCCGCTCCAGGTGCGGCGTCTAAGTATACCGTGAGCTTAGGGTAACGGGAGGACGCTAGTTTGTGTCCTCCCGTTACCCTAAGGAGAACTATGGGGAAAAACACTGACCCCATAGTTCTCCTTTAATGTAAATATGCGCAGCAGATACAGTGTAGACATGTAACCGTTGTTTGCTAAATGCAATGGCGCAACGGTGTTTCTAAATATACATCAATGTTGAAGTTGTATTGAAGTTCAAACGAAGGATATGAAAATGCTACTTTCAAAGCTTGAAGTAGGAATGTTTGGATACCAAGTACCGTACTTGGTACGAGTACATGTACAGATACTTTTCCAGCTCCAAGACTAGACTAGAAAGGGGATGCACCAATACCATACTGATACTTGTCCAAGTACTCACAGATACAAGTACTGATACGGTTTTGTTTTGTTGTCATGTGACCATTTTTCTAAAATAATACAGACTAATGATTTCAGGACAGTGGCGGAGCGCCAGAGCCAGGTCCCAGCTGCAACCACATCAACCCTGGTAGTTCTCATGAAAATGCCAAGTATAAGCACTGGTATCTGGACATCCCTAGTTTTAGTGCTCAGTAGTGCTCAGACATTTCATATAGCATTTCATATAGCATTTACCAGAGCTGTCAGACTGCCTATTTATTAATGCTTTAACTTATGATTATTATTAATATTATTATTACCGGTATTACTATTGTCATTTCCATGTATTTTTATTGTCATGTAAAAATGTTTGCTGTGGCAATCTGAAAACAAATCCTTACGATTCTTCTTTTCGTTAATGGCTATGGTTAGCCTCCCACTTTGTTGAAAGCTCATTTCACAAACAGTTTAATTAACTTTGACACATTTGATAAAGTTGCGTAAGCATAGAAGGTTTGCACAAATAAGCATGACATAGCTAAGAGCTGGATTAGGAAATCCTTCTAAATCTTTCTGTTGATGATATACTTAGTTTCTACATTGTGTTGCTCTGCCTTTTGACGCCTTTCAATCTCTTTTTTTTGCTAAGTACTTAAGAAACTCTACAGTAAAGTTACTTGAATTGAAGAAAAAAAGAATAGAACGCTGTGCAGTATTTTCCATTTAAGTATTTTTTCCTGGACAGTACAAGTCGTATGAATGCCAAAATATTTTCCAGGAGACTCTGGTTTAGCCAGTGACCACTGAAGTGTTAAAGAAAACAACTGTGATGTGTTAGTTTCTTTTTGTTTCACATTTTCCTTGAGATGACCGGATGGTTTATAGTTAAAATTCAGCTTTTCTTTATACACTCTTTTAAAAGTACTTGCCGTTGGAATAACTAGATTCCCATTTTCTTACATGAACTAAATCTGCTCATAAATGGAATATTGAACCCACCTGCCTTGAGCTCAAGGAACTGTTCTTTCTCAGATCTGGACATTTGGCCCCATAGTCCAAATTCTAGACCTTACATTGAACAATGACAATGGTATGTGCAATCAACACATATTTAGATATGCTCATCATGTGGCTAGAGTTTCTATCCTACTTGTTTGACATCCAAACACAATTGGTTCTGCACAATGGAATTGTGTCTTTTTTTCAACCTAACTATGTAACATTTCAATTGAATCTGTTGATTGTTGTATTAATCTGCATGCATGACCTAGTTGTCATAAAGTTAGATATGAAACGGCCTTACTCAAAAATTGACCTATAAATTGGCAACTTAGGCCTGTTTTAGGGATGTGCCGATACTGGGTATTTGGGTGACTAATGACACACTGTCCGGCTTCCTGATTGCCCGGGAAGCCAGCTCATGCTACCGCAAGTATCGGTACTCGGTATCGGTGAGTACTGAAATATAAGTATTAGTACTTGTAAAAACCGGTATCCTTAGTAATGATATTAATCCTGGGACTCAAACACTTAACACACAACTGATGTTTAAAGGAGTACTATGGGGCAACCTTTTTTGCCCATAGTTCTCTTTAGGGTCATGGGAGGACATATACTAATGTCCTCCCCTGACCCAAAACTCAGCATATAGCGTGCTTTTGCCCTCTATTTGCTGACAGCATAGTGCCGCAGCCGGGACGGATCCCGACAATACTGTCAAGGCCCACCCCTCTATAGAAGAAGTCAGCTGTGTCTTCGCCCCCTCCCCCGTTCGTTCCTCTAATCAGCGCTGGAGAAATGGACAGGGAAGGGGGAGAATCCTTGCAGGGAGCAGTGACTGTCGGTCATCGCTCTCTGCAGGGAGAGGATCGGGAATTTGTCGATCGGCGGTATGGGTTAGCTGACTTCCCGATCAACAGAGCCAACCTGTGACAGCTTCAATGTCGCAGGTCGGCTTGAATTATGGGGATGAGTGTTTTTCACTCACTCCATAATTCTCCTTCAATTCATCCATATCATAGTTTACAAGAATAGAAAAACCGCATGATATCTCAGACTTACCGCTGGTCTGGTTTAATTTCAGTAGTATTGACTCTTGTGCATTTAATAGAATACACTTTGGCAGAATTAAAGAACACCAGTGACCAGTGAATTTATATGGCAGTATTCATTGCCAAGCAATGGTTACCCTTGAGGGAAAAAAAAAAACAGTAACGTGAAATGCAAGTATAGCAGCACCCTAGTATGAATCACTCAAAATGCCGTAACTTTACTATAGGTTACATTTTTAGGCACTGCATTTTAAGAAGGCCAGAGGTAAAGACATGGCAGCTAAGTAAATAAAAGGGATGTGAGGTGTTGTTTAACATTGTAAGGTTATAAAGATTGGGATGTACACTTTTAAAACTGGGGTGTTCAGTTTGAAATAAAGATATATATTTAAGGCGATCGACTTATTGTGTTTCAATAAGTCGTTCTATGTTGTATGTTATATGTTGTAACCAAAGTCAACATTGACGGGACATCATTGTCCTGCATCTTCTTCAGATCCAATAGTATGCTGGTAATGAAGTGCTTTAACCCTGACTGTTCATATTTTTACATTAACTGCACACCCTAACACAATCTTTCAGCAGGTGCGCTGGTATGACCAGGGTCTGTTAGAAAGTCTGTTAAAGTGGTTCTAAAGCCTCCGTTTTTTTGCCTATATCTACTGCTATCAAGCAGTAGATATAGGCAAAAAGTTTAAAAAAAAACAAAAAACGCCGTAACAGTGCTTTACACTTACCTTGTTTTGGCTGCGCGCTCCCGTGCGAGAAAATGAAACTGCTCGTACGGCCGCAAATGATCTTGGGGCGGGCGCATGCGCAGTTCTGATTCTCGGCCGGGAGATGAGCAGGTAAGTCTATGGACGCGTGCACCCGCATGCAGACACCGCCGGATCAGAAGTGCCTGCAAGCAGAGACGAGTCAGCGCTGGATCGGAGAGCCACCGCACCGCTGGAGGGACAGATGAAAACATGGGAAAAGAAGAAGATCGGATTGAGACATCATTTAAGGTAAGTGCTGACATTAACATGGGGGGAGGGGGAAAAAATTATCCTTTAATGTCACTTTAAGCTGTTTTCAGTGTGTACAGTTTTAAGTTTTTACCTCAGCAAAACTGGACTTTGATTTTTTTTTTTTTCTTTTTCAAAAATATGCATTGTATA